GAATAATCCTGAAATTGTCTTGGAAAAACAAACTTGTATTATGTTTAGTTTAACTGTCGAGTTTCTGGAATGAAAATAAAGGAATTATTGGCAAATATTGTCTTTCAGATATAGATAGCAATAGTTTTTTTTTTCACTGTTATTCAAAAGAACGAGAAATATTTTGTAATAGTAGATTTTGTTGAAGACAATTGTGTAGCGGTTAAAGTTTCACTTTAGGTACTGTCTAGAGAGACTAGTGTATAATGCAGACAAGGAACAACACATTTTTTGCTTGTAATTATTATGGGTAGAAAGCACACTGAAAGAATCAGATTTCAATTTTTTTAGATAAAATTTCCTTTTGCAGAGGTAATAAAGAAGACATTACTTCAAAAAAGTCAGACTATAGGGAATAAGTTTAATGATTTGACAACTTGGTTTTATTTCCAAGAGAGATAATTTTTCAAGTCCTTAGCAGACGTCTTTCTCTGTATTACTCAACAGTTTTAAGGGATTAAAAACCAACTTAATTCTTTGGCAAAAGCTGGAAATTCTTAGAGGAATTACTTTTAAGACAGAATAAGTACATACTTTGCATTAATTTGTAGTAAATGGGACATTTTTACTGTTGAAAAGATGGCCTTAAATATCTTTTGTTGCTGTTGCAATGTAGGAATTCCGCAGTTTTAGATATTTTTACGAGGTTGTTCGGGTTTTTACCAATTCTCTCATGTTTTACCCATTACATAATATATTTATGAAAATAGAAATGTTTTTAATTTATTGAATTGCTATTTCATTCTATGTAAATAAATAATATGAAATTACAAGATTACATTCACAGCTGAAAGAGGATCTAATTTCTTTTTAAGAAGTTGTCAGGCTCAGCATGTTGTGTTCTTTGAGGCAAGGGCGAGTTGCTAAACGGTATTAGCAAAGTTTGCCTTTGAATTCAGGGAAGGTGGAAAATCTGCTTCCTTATTTATTTGTTGTTCATTGAACGTTATCCAAGAGTGTTTGACAAATTCTGCCACTCAACTAGCAATATAAAGTAAAGCTAGTGAGCACATTATAGTAAAATCATTGATGTGTGGAGTGATAAAATTGAGCACATAAATCACAGGCTTCATGCTAATTGTCACAAATTTCTATAAATTCGTAGACAGTGTGAAATAAGGGAGAAAATATCAGTCTTGCTTGAATTAGGTAATTCAATGTAAAGATGTATCTATCTGACCCGAATTCAAGTGTTATATATTTTTACTGAATTTTTTTTTAAAAAGATCTTTGAAGTATGTAATTAGGCAGAAATGCACACATGTATTACTACTCAATTGGTTAAAGACCTTCTTGACAAGTCAGTTAAGCAGTTAAAATTAATATGTCAAGATTAAATAGCAACTTGAACAAGTTTACATTCAGCAGTTAACAATCTTGTAAATTCATCTAGTTATTATTAATATCAATTATTTCATAATATATATTGATAAAGAAGTCCCGCGGTTAATGGTTGAAAGAAAATGGAGGACAAAAGAATAAAGAATTTTCTGACTGTTATATTTTGACATGGTTTGAATTGAAATTGTGACAGTTGAGAGTATATTTGTTAAGATGTGTTTATTATGAAGTGTGATTTCTGGTCAGGCTGTATCTGTGTATATATTGTAATGATATTACTGTAAGTATCTGTAGGCAAGTGACCTGTATGTTGCCATATGGAGAAAAGTAAACTAAAATCTAACAGAGAAATAAATCGGCACTGCGAGCTCCCATATACATGAAGTTTGTTTATTTTCATGGTGATTGGGAATACACCTTCAGGCCTTCTGCAAGCAGGAGTTTAGTTTGATAAACTGTGAAAATATGGTCTATTTATTTCAGTGTAGACCTGCTGAAGTACTTTTGACAGCTTTTCTAAACATGAAGTAACTCATAGTAAGGAGGAGAGCTCCTACATCAATTTTACAACTTTCCTGGACAGCTTATCTGGACTGGCGCTGATAATGGTAAAATGAAAGACCTACAGCTAGAAACTTGCTGAGGAGATATATGCATTAACATTGTTAGCTTGAGTTTAATCCCAATCTTAGAAAGAACATGTCCAATTCTGAAAATTTGAAAATAAGTGCAAGAAAGTAGTCGAGGGAGAAGAATTGAGAGAAAATCAGTCGGATGTTTTATAGCTAATCCATCATTGAGAAAATTGTGGTGATCTGCGGAATTAAGATCAGGAGAAAAAACCTGGGTAGCCCTTGGGAGCTAATATTTCCTCAATTGAAGACCTATGAGACAGTCTGTCTAAATTTGGGTCATAGGAGAAACAGAGATTAATGGTTGCTTTCTCAGAAAATGACACCTTTCTGACCTATTTTAAATGAAATAAAACCAATGGCAGTGGTGGCTCATTTTTGCCAAGAAAAAACACAAGATGCGAGGTCATCTTCCTTACTTTGGTGCTGACCTTATTTAAATGAAATCCTTCCGCCTGATGACTGTTTAAAAGATGGGAGAAATTCTGTAGATATAAACCAAGGAATAAATTGAAGAACCTCTGCTTAAATTAAACTCTGAAGGGTTTTTTTCCAAAGAGATTAAAAGTATGATTGAATGATTTTAAATTATCTGAATTTTCTATACAATCAGCTGTCTCTGGGGTAAAAACAAAACCAGAAAAGGCACAGAAAAAGTTGAATTTTCATTTAGCCATCATCAAATTGGTATCAATTGAGTCTGATTTTTCCCCCATCATTAAAAACTTGCGGATTTTGGGAAATGAGAATGACATTTGGATGCACCCTGACTTAAAAACTGTTTCTAGTGGTATTTCCTGCGATCGTTGGAGAATTAGGTAATCACATCCGAGGTAAAATGGTTCTAAACTATCATTGACCTTTCATTTGAATCACAAACCAGTTAATAAGCATATTTAGATATTGTTGTGGCTTGATCAACTGCTCTGACATTTTAGTAATCAGTTTATTACTGGAGTCAGCACTCAGGCTAGTCTTTGATGTGAGGAAACAATGCTTTAACCTATCATAAAGTTGTCCAAAGTTCCATAACTTGTCAGTTATCGGTGTGAAGAATTATTTATGATTTTAGCAGGATATCATAGTATCTGCAGTTGTACAAATATGCAATTATAAATTTGTCATAATTTCAAGTGGGGGAAAATGCGTGTACAACACTTTCCAGAATTTATAATACACCCTTCGCAAATAGATTTTACCTATTGCAGAATTACATGTAGTATGATAATAAATTATTTCTGTCTCGCAATCATATATTATTGAACAAAGTGATAAACACCTATGGATCATTGAAACATGTTGTTTCTTAATTATGACTGAATGATTGTAATAATTTACTTCCTAACATTGACGGGCAGCTGTTCACAAAATTAATAATAATTCTTGCGGATACACACAAACATGTCCTTATTGCTCTATGACTTATGTTTGTCTTGCTACATTGTCTTTAGAGACTTTTTCATTTCCATGTATATTGCATTAGTTTCGAGACAATCCTTGTCCCTTTCCCCTATCGCTACCAAGATTTGATTATTTATTCATACATTCCTGTCATATCATAGTCTCTTGGAAATAGAGGCAAGGTGTCAGATTACGGATCTTATGTTTTAATATACAATCACAAAACAAACTTACAAATTAGTATGTGTACTAGATATAAACAATGCTTTATTACTTTATTTGTTAATAATTTAATATTGAATCATCAACGGAAAGGTGTCAACATTTTCTTACTACATGGGCACGGATGGATAGGTGGTTGGGTTTAAATATTTCTGTGGGTTATTCGTATGGACTTGAGTGTTCAAATTTGCTATGGTCCCTTACTGGTACATGTATATCAAACAAATATTACGCACACAAAGAACAAAAAGGATAAAAAGTATAATTGTATATTTATATTCACATATAGTATTTTTGGGGTGAAAATAAATCTATAAGAATGAGACTTGATTTATCTAGAATGATAGATATTAACAATGAGACATGGATGTACTATAAATGTAGGTTGTTATTCATTGTTGACCATTGCTTGATAAAGATACCTGTAAGGGTATTGAAACGTTGCATGTAATAAACTAAAAGTAGTAAATCCATAAAGTTGTGTTATTATGAATATTGTACCTCTACTTCTAAATGTCATTTAAGGATATTAACAATGAGACATATTTATATAAATATATATATATATATATATATATACACATACACCTGTGTAAAGAAAACCTTTAAGAGGATTAATAAAAGAGCATAAACCATGAAAGAATTTTCCAAATTGTAAAAAGTATCAAAAGTACTTAATTTAATTTCTTCACTGCAATTTGCCAAATCAGCCATTAAAACGGATTATTGAAGGTTTCCTTTGTGATGTAAATTGAGAGCAAACAGTAAAATAAATATGTTACAAACTTAGCTCAGGATCAATATTGAGCCTTTAGACTTATAACAACAGATGTTCCTTCTTGCTTCATTTCCAACTTTTCTTCTAATCAAAAGCTATAATTTTATAATAATATTTATGATATTAATACGCTTATTTACTATAAATAATGAATTGATTTAGTGAGAGAATATTGGTCAAATATTATGATATGTGGTTGGGTTGTAGCCATGTAGTGATACAAATAATAGTATATCAATTTAATGTTGATTAATGACACCCGCGGATATTAACTTTATTCAAAACATCAATAAATATATTTCTTTGGTAAATCTACTATGATTTCTATTTAATATACTACTTAACAATAAATTTTATTTATTACTTAATTCACAGAGACTTTATGTTGCTGTATCAATGATTTCCAACCAGATGGGATTTTTTAATGGCTTAAATCAGATTAACTTTATTCAATCTGTCCATGTTTTTATATGTCTAATATTTTAATTCGTTTTGTTGATATATGTTTCACATTAATTTAAATATACATAAATACTGTAATTCATCAACTTAAAAAAATTTATTGAATTTTCTTTCTTTATTTATAGCACCCGTATCCTTCAGAAGAACAGAAAAAACAGTTAGCACAAGATACAGGTTTAACAATACTTCAGGTCAACAATTGGTAAGTTATATTGATTATTTCAATTAATAAGACAATTGTACATTTACTATTTTATTATACATAATCTTTATAAGTATTTAAATAAAAATCTATGATGACATACAGCTGTATGTAATATTAGACAATAACAATATACACTATAACACATAGAAATATAATATTAATTTAAATACATAAACATGAACAATAAGCTGACCAGTAATATACACTATACAAAAGAAATGCCATTATACGTTAATTTTAATATGCAAAAACTAATATACATATCTAATACTTTGCACAAAATATATACATATATATCTATATTTTATACATTGTGTTTTCTAGATCATTTCATGGGTTATTAATCCAATGTATTGTTATTGATGACATCATCAGGATTATATTAAAAGGGAGATAAATGATGACATGACTCATTCATTTCTTTAAAACTCTTAATGAGTTTTTACCCTTCTCATATGATACAGGCTCATTAGACTGGATTAAAAGGCACAGAATTGAAACAACTATATTGACTAATTTCATTTAATCACCCCAAATTCTATGATATCAATATCATTAAGATAACTTTAATCTATTTCTTCTTCAAAAAAACAAAAACATTTAAAGTTTCGAGAGATTTTCGGTAATTGTTATTTTTGAAGAAAAGGAATTTGCATAATGTATTAATTGTAATAATGTTGTCTTTTGTTGTTTTGTTTTGTGGCATGGCACAGTTGCTTCCCTTGAAATGAAATTATAATCATTGGAAGTCATGCAGAAAGACACATTAACATGCAGTTTAGTATATTTTATCCAAAATATCTTTGTTTGCTGGTTTTGTGTGTTTTATAACTGGGATTTTTCTATGTTAAACAGTGTTTAAGCAATTGTTATGAATTTTGGCAGGTTTATAAAAACATAAAGTCTATATTAAAACATCTTTGTTATTGCCAATCTTATATTTGGATAGATTTTTAAATAATATACCATTTCTCAATTTTGAATGTTATGGAGAAGAAACCATTTGTTGTTTATTATCTCTTGTGAAGATACTGTTGGTATTTATTTTTCTTCTGAGGTGAATGGAGGGGGTTGGTGGAATAGATTGAAAACCAAGATGGAGGATAGGTAATCTGGAATGACGTCTGCTTGCGATAAGAACAATAGTTCTTCTCTTTCTTCTGCTGCTTTCTCACAATCAAATGAATATCTAAATAAACTCACAACTATTGTTTCCTAAATGTCAGTGGTGAGGAAAAATATTTTGGCATGTTTTTTGCCGTTGGGTCTTACAAGAGATGATGGTGCCATTGATATCTTGGACTACTTACTGCTTCTCTTGAAACAGATATTTGTAGAACAGGTACTTATTATCACTTAGTGTATATATACATAAGCTACATTAGATACCAGAATGAGAGAATTTGGGTAGAATTTATGACAAGTGTCAGAGTATCTGCTGATAATAAACCTACTTGGATCTCGCCATAGATATGAATTTAGGATTTTTCTCCTGTTTACATAATTCTAAAAATATCATTTATAACCCCTATTATGATGGATTGCCAATGAAAATAAACATTATTCGAAAAGAAGGTTTGATATCAAATATTGATGTTTGTTTAGGGTGAGACATGAAATTTTTAAACCCATAATTGAGAGCTTATCATAACTAGAGGTCTTTATGATGCCTTCAAATTAGCTGTCTTATTTCCAATTAGTAGTTTTAAAGTTAAAAAATGAGCATCCATGAAAAGAAATAGTTGCACTAACAAGGCAAGCGATTGCGACCCAGAATCTTATTAGCTGGTGGGATTCGTAGCCATTGGCAATGGTTTTTTGTGCTCGCTTCGACTCCCTACCTAGAATCTGTCAAGACAGCTTTCATATTCCTTCATTCACGTGTAACAACCCTTTACCTAAATTTAACATCACCTTTTTGTTGTAGGGAATTTAGTTTTGTTAAATTGAGCCTGATTGGCTGATAGTTGCGTCTGCTTACTGAGCATGAAATGAATTTGGTGAAGCTGGCGCTATGTCTCTTTTGTTCAGTAGAGAAAAAAAAAGGAGATTTGATAAAAAGATAAAATTTAAGCTATAACAATATCATCTTTCTTTCTCCTTCTAGTCTAATCTGCTACTTGTTTTTATACTGGGCTTCTTTATATTTTAATATCAGTCGTAGCCCTAGTTAGAAGGACGAATGTATCACTTTCTCTAACCAGTTAATATAGATGATTGGAGGGAAATGAGAGTGATAATGTAATTTGAATGATTTTCTGAAGATCATTAATTCAAGGTACTTGTTAAAACCTTGAGGGAATTTTTGAAGGAAATCAGGCAAATCTTCAAGTACAGTTTTACGATTCAACTCAGGTGCAATCCTTCTTTGAGACCAATTAATGGAATTTTGATTACGAGTTCTCTAACTTCAGTTCTATTGGCAGTGGCCAATTTTATTGGAATCGACCACAAAACTCATGGAAGACATAATAAACAACGACTCTCTAGCTATTCAAGTTATCATCTTGAGGACTGCTACAATTCCAATAAGCTGGACAATTAATTCAATTTTATGGTAAAATGCTGTCTCACGACCCCTAGTGACTATACTCAAGCCCTCTGTTTCCATTCCCACCGATTCAACATTTTCCTATTCAGTAATATGGTTTTGGAATATTGAACCAGCTATTCGGGACTGGGTCATTTAAGAGAAAGAAATAATACCACTGAAATTTTAACAATTAACAAAACACAAAACAAATCTTAAGAGAACATTTCTAATTTTAAGGTTTAAGAACTCTGGTGATATCTTCTTTTTTATAGAGGAAATTAATGAAGAAATTAACTCAGTTTAAGATAAACCAAGCAATAAGAAAGGTGATAAAAAATCTAACAATAAAACATAAGAATACTTATAATAAGATATATAACTATGAAAATTGGAAGGGGGTGGGGGGAAGAGGTATTTTATCAAGTCTAGGTGAAGTTAGTCATTATTTAATGGAAGCTATCTGTAACATCTTTTTAACAGAGAAGTTTGGGAGAAGATGCTCATTTGACATATGCAGTGCAGCTGCTTCAAGTCTGTAGCTTTCACAGTCAAGTTAATTAAGATTGCTTACTGATGTTAAAAGCTAATTTCATCTATAGAGATGACATCAATTCTAATTAAAAGAGATTGATATACTCTGACCTTTTTAGCCCTTTCCTAAATTAGTTAGGTCATGAAATATCATATTTTGCATTTTAGAAATACTGCTCTATTTAAAGCCATGAATGAGATATAATTTTTAGAGATTTTCAACTTAAGTCAATAGCTCTTGCAACTTAAAACGATTAAAAGTGTCCAAATGTTATCAAAATATTAAGAGGTGGAAAATAAATTCCATAATTGAGTTTAATCATTTTATTATTGATGGTACAGTATTTCTTTCTTTTGTTCAGCGCATATCTTCCCCAGAAATTAAAATTTTGAAATTAAGTCTTTTTGGACGACTTATTTCATAAAGAAAAATGATTGAAAGTTAAATCAGACTGTCAAATTTGGCCAAGGTTGAATGCAACAAAAATATTTTCAAATACCAGCAAGTCGTAGTTCCCATATTGACTTTTTTGTCGGATGGCAGGACTACCTTAGGTTTTCAAATCGTATCGTTAAATTGGAAAAATCTTCAATATTCGTGGATTTTTCTATTTCAAAGACGTTTAGGTTAACCCTATCTGAACTCATTCTAGATAGAAAAAAATGCATGCCGGCCAGAATATTGCAAATTAATGAACCAAATAATAAATTCAATAATTATATTTGGTACAAAAATGATTTATCAGAAAAAATAGCAAGAATCCTATGGTTGAGAGAGCCTGACTAATGCGAGCAGGGTAGTGTGAAATAAACACATTAACTCGAATCTTGTCCCACCGTTGTAATAATCTTCTCACTATGGGGCAGAATATAAAGGTACTAAGCTGCGTATAAAAATCACACTTTGCTTCCAAACTCAGATAATTTGTCATTATATTGTTGAAATCATATCTGCATTAACTAACACTTGTACATTACCACAGGAGAAAAATTCCTTTGTATTGCCAGAGATCTAAGTAATAAAAAAAAAATAATCTGGGAGAAAAAATTTGCATGAGCTTATATAAACATAATTTAAGAGATTTGAAATGATATTTGAATTTTCAGAAAAACGAATTTGAGAGATTTTTGTTTATTAAGGTTTATGGGTTTCTGCAGACACAGATTGCAGTTTCACAGTAAATTTTTTGAGGGTTAAACATGTTGATTTATGATTTTATTTCTACTCCTGTGTTTTTATGATGATGATAAGTAGCCATTTTGTGGTATCTAAAAATAGCAGTAACCTGTGTATGGGTAATTATTATTGGAGTTATCTTTAGGGGATTTACTAAAAATCCTGGTATGTTATCGAGCCAAGTGTACATATATCACATCTAGGTAAGACATAAAATACCAGATAATTTTATCAATATTGTGACATTCCAGGAATTATGCAGGAATTCTTGAAGGATATTTGAAAAACAAAGTTTCAAAGTTAAAAACAAAAGTGTCAAAAGCTTGTCTGAGTTCTAGTGTCATTTTAAAAACAAAAGTTTTAAGAGATTATCACATCTGATAGTAGACAGCGAAAACAAGATGCACTAAAGTATCTTACCTTTGAACTACTTTGTATCTTCATGGAAGAGAATTGTTTTTCAAGGTATTTACATTAGGATCTCCCAATATCATGTTGCAGATGATTGGGTATTTTTGAGATCATTTAGTATTTTGATAGTAAATGATACATAATTTTACTGCAGGCTGTGTTCTTGATGGAAGATAACTGACCATTTTGTTCTGTGTTTTATCAAGAACTTTTCAGATTTATCATATTTTATTTTACTTTTTTGATGATTTATCATTTTGAGGAAATGATTTGTTCATTTTAAATTGTACGTTTATTGAAATAATTTGATAAAGTTTTACAGGTTTAAAATAGCCATAGTTATTT